GTGTTAACAAGTAGTAAAGCGTTGTTATTGCTTTAACAAGTATTGTGAATTGTTTGTTGAACAATAAAGTTAATTGTACTACAATTCCCCGAGTATATTTGGGTAATCCCTCAAGGTTTCGAGGATAATCGTAACAGTATTATGGGGTGTTAACACTTTAACGTAAAGGTGTGTTCACACTAGTCCCACAAGGTGTTCTGCTTCTTTTATCCGCAAAACAGAAAGAGAATTCTACGTAGAGAGGGTTGTAATCCCTAAGAGCGGCCGCAGGCCGCCTACGCCGAAATAAACAATTTTGCAGATATGTTTCACTTAATACATCACAAATGTACAAAAACACATAAATACGTGTTAACAAAGAACGTTGATAACAAGAAGGGACAACTCGTTATAATTGTGGCGAAATAGCGCAACAGGGGCGTGCCTTCTCTTTTCATCCAATCAAAAAACGCACTAGGGCAAAAGAGAAGGCACGCCCCTGTTGCGCACTTTCGCTACAATTATAACGAGTTGTCCCTTCTTGTTATCAACGTCCCCTTTCAGACACGTCAAGTCTTGAAAGCAATTTTTTCGCATTCTCTTTTGTGTTTTCTATTTGATTCCACACGCGTCAACTTTAATTGAATTCAAGTCCTTGGTTCTTTAAATGGGAAGCAACGAAAAGATCAAAAGAGACAAGAAAACTTGAAACGAATTGACGGTACGGAGGTATCTGTACTCTTCCCCTCTCTTCTCACCTCCTTCGCCAACGAACGAGCAGACTTGAAAGCAAGACTTGACGTGTCTGAAAGGGGACAACGTTCTTTGGTGTTAAGCTGTGTTCATTTACTCCATTTATTTGCGTGAAATGCAAAAGTGCAACTGTTTTTTTTTTTGCAAATATCTCTTTAATTAATTAAAAAAAGTTAATCTCCGTCGTCGGATTATTATTATTTGCGGGCGTGACCTTTTTATTTTGACCAATATCTTCGTTATTACTTAACTTTAAGCAATAGTTGATACATCAACAGATAGAGAATTAAAATATCTTTAATAATTATAGAATAAAAACTAATTTAAAATGCACAATATTCCTTTTTTTGAAGCTCACACTCAACTGTGTGCATACGCAAAGCATTCGCATGTGAACGACTAGTTTATATAGATGTGTGTGAGCGTCCATAAGAATACAAATGGAATTCTTTGTCTTTGCGAACGTTCCCGCTCACGCTCGCATTGAACTGTATAGCAGGTGAAAAATCCACATTTACGGCGTGAGACCGAAAAAAGAGCAGCTGAAGTTAGAGCAGAATTGAGCAGATGCCAAAAAAACAATGGAGCAAGTTAGAGCAACTCAGTTCACAAATCTCATGAAACACTTTTCAGGCAGAAATTCTCAAAACGGTTGCTTGCTCTAAGTTACTCCGTGAAAAAAGCTGGTGCAGAAAATTGTGCTCTAAGTTCCACTTAGCGCAGGCTCATGAAACAAAAACTAGAGTAAGTTAAAGCAAGAAAAATTCTCATGAAACACAATTTTGTGAACAATCTTGACCTGGCGTAACCTAACCTCATTAAAAATAATTCGCACAGAGAAGATAATGTACAAAAAACCCCACTGAAAATGGGGAGAGGAAATTTTAAACAAAAAATTCAATACAAAAACTTGAATAGCTTTAACCATAACCGAAAACTTGTTTGTGTATAGATTCATGTGTCGGTGCCATCAATTGAAATTTCCTCAATTTAATAGGAAAAAAAAACAAACAGATTTGATCTCAAATTGAGCCAAATTTCTATCAGTATCACATCGATGTCGAATTTTCGCATATTTTCTTTTTCCAAATAATGTAAAATAATAAATGAAATCTCTATCGGCGATCACTGAAACGCAGCTAGCAATTGTATACGCGAAAAAGCAATGTTGCCAAGTTTTCTTATTGAACCATGTTCCAATCGTGGAAATTGTTGAAGATCACAGGGTTGCTTTTAGCATTTACACTCTTAAAGTATGTTTGCATTGTTCAACTTTGCGTTGAATGCCTAAAAATATCAACATATGAAAAAATATCAAAATATTCGCCATAAAAAGGNGTTGTTCAACTTTGCGTTGAATGCCTAAAAATATCAAAATATGAAAAAATATCAAAATATTCGCCATAAAAAGGTGTTTGCATTGTTCAACTTTGCATTCAACTTTTGGTTGAATGGCCTTTCAACTAATCGCTTTCAACAAAGTTGGTCGCCAGCCAACATTTAGCCATTCAACATTTTTTGTGCAACCCTGCGTTAAGTTGAACGCAAATGTTGAAAGAAAAGTTGAACAATGCAAACACCGCTTTAATGCAGAAATGGAGTTGCATTAAGTGGCATTTAGGTGACGAATTTAGTATGGATAAATGTACATTTAGAGTAGCATTTATAGCTAAATGCGCTAAATGTACTTTTACGCGTAAACAAAAACAGCCCATAAATTAGAATAGTTACTAGAGCGAAGCGTTGGGAAGCTTAAAGTGTGTTTGCATTGTTCAACTTTGCGTNCCCATAAATTAGAATAGTTACTAGAGCGAAGCGTTGGGAAGCTTAAAGTGTGTTTGCATTGTTCAACTTTGCGTTCAACATTTGCGTTCAACTCAGCGCAGGGTTGCACGAAAAAAAGTTGAATGGCTAAAAATATCAAAATATGAAAAAATATCAAAATATTCGCCATAAAAAGGTGTTTGCATTGTTCAACTTTGCATTCAACTTTTGGTTGAATGGCCTTTCAACTAATCGCTTTCAACAAAGTTGGTCGCCAGCCAACATTTAGCCATTCAACTTTTTTTTCGTGCAACCCTGCGTTGAGTTGAACGCAATTGTTGAACGCAAAGTTGAATAATGCAAACACTGCTGTACAATATAATTTTAGTATGTACAGTGTACATTGTACACAAAAGTCGATGCATTGAAAACAAATACATCGATATATCAATGTATATCGGAAGGTCCAAAACATCGGTTTTATTCGATACATCAAATAGCAAACATCGATGATTCCGATGCATCGATGTTTTTGTTTGCATTTCTAAGAAGTGTGATTTGAGAAGGTATAAAGTTGCAAAATATGTGTGATATGCTTTTGAATCATGTAAATAAACCAAATAAATATTTTCATACCATATATTGAACAGTTTATAGATACCATAATGGGGAATGCACCAGTAAAAGAAGTAGCGCAGGCAGCCGCAAATAGTGTCACTGGCGCTTCACAACCCGCGGAAAAACCCAAGTGCAAAGCATGTTGTGCCTGTCCAGAAACCAAGAAAGCCCGTGACGCATGGTTAGTTAGTGATTTGTATTCCATTGGCATGGTTACATATTGGTTTTGTTCTCTTTGTAGCATTGTAGAGCGTGGCGAGGAAAACTGCACAGGTTTGATAGAGGCGCATAAGCAATGCATGCGAGCGCAAGGCTTTAACATATAAACAAACTACTATCGACATGTATTGACTAATACAGTTGCGAATGCTACTTAAGTTAAACTTATAAATAGTTTTGTCTCTGGAAGTTGGGAGCTCTTTTATGCAGGCCTAGGCATGCCATCAACGAATGCATACGCTTATATCTTGTAAATTATAATCTATTTGTTACTTGTTATTATGTAATCAGCCAATGAATGCAATTAATGTGTGAGAATCGCATTATGAATAGAAATGAAATTAAAACTTGTTTAAAACAAATCATCAGGCAATTTTATTTATATGTATGTACGTATAAACTGCTGCT